CTAAAGATTTATTATTACTGAGCACTGAGGAAAGAATATTTCCTGTACATTAAGATTTAGATCCTGGACTCATGTTACCATGGTTGTTAGCAGGCTATGCATTGGCTGATCAGGATAACTGTCCCGGATGCATACATAGAAAAAACTCAAGTCTGTTCATCTTATCCTCACTCTTAGCAAGGTTAGACTTTTACTTTGATGAGATGGCTCTATCTGAGGACTGGATCTTAATCAAAGAGTTTTCAGATATACTGCATCAGCTTGTATCTATAATGAGCTAAGACAGTACTAGCTTATCAATAACACTGCTCAGCTGACGAGTCTAAACCTTCATAAAGAACAGACATGCTTATAAAACCCAATGAAGTGCTTTATTTTTTAACAACAGCATGACAGCATTGAGCCTAGTCCAGTGGTAATACATAATTCCCACATCATATTAAGCAGGACTGCTGCCTAGCAAGCAATTTCCCAGCTTGTGTTTGTGTAGTTAATTATTACTATTGAAGTATAGTAATTTCAAAGTGTCCATATTGAACTGCTTCTTGGTTTTGTTTTTTTTTTTCAGACTACTTGTCCAACTTTTCAAGAAAACATTGAATTCTAACCCTGAAGTGACTTCCTGTATAAAAAGGGCAAACTGAAGGATGAATCAGAAGATTGTTGGATTGGATTCTAGCTCAAATGGGAATTAATTCTGGGAAGTCCTATGGCTTGGGTTACACAGACTATATGGTCATAAGGGTCCCTTCTGGCTTTATAATATATGCATGTGCTTTCTGGCTTAGAGATATTGCAAAGGGTCTTTCCAACCCAATAATTTCTAAAAGCTACCTGAAAGGATTCTAATGATACTTTAATAAAATTCAGCAGGAGTCTAACCTGTTTTCAGTTCTTGTTAGCAGACATGCACACATATCACAAAAGGGACTCTCCATATCACATTGCATCCACATGTTCTCAGATGTTCCCACAAAGCAGTATGCATCACGCCTTGCCATTTGTAACTTCCTGCTTTCCACACAAGATTAACAGAGCACAAACAAGTAGATGCCTCATTTTCCAACAATGCAAACCAGTATTCCTTTGGGAATTTCAGAATTCACTTTATAGCTTTTAGCTCTGGTGTTTACCCATGTTGTTAACCAGATTATGATTATCTGTTTACAGTCCCTGAACATCAAAATATTATCAGAAATTTGCATATACTTACATATATATCTATACATATATATGAAAGAGGTGCATGTGTGCAAGCATATATGTTGTGGTGTGTTTTGCTTTGAATCCATCTTTGCCCCCTGTCCTCCTCCCTAATCCCCTCCCTTTCCCAGTTGCCAATTTTCCAAAGCCCTTCCCTAACCTCCTCCCTTACAAGTTGTCAATCCTCCCTACCCCTGCCCCTTCCTCCAGAGAGTTCTGTGTCTGTCTTGTTGCCCTCGACACCTCATTTGTTACTGTGTATTATTCCCCTCCCCTGTTTTCCATAATAGGCTCATAAACTATTTGCCCCACCTTATACTCCTCTCTTACCATATCCTCGTTGGGTCACTTTCCTACACCCCCACTCCTGAGCTGCTGCGTAAAAACTTCTGTTCACCCTCCTCCCCCCGCCCTGCCCCAGTCTTTTCTGGGTGCTGCAACACGTATGTATACATAGAGTCAAATGGAAAGCCAATATTACAGTCTCACTGTAATGTGTAAAGATGCATATTTCATTTTGGTGCCCACCTTGATTTACTCATTTAACCCTGTAAAATAAAAAAACACCCTGAGGTTGTTCTACTTCATTCCAGAAATGAGTCTTTCAAAGCCAGATTTCCCACAAAGGAGCTCAATGCATGCCAATTTAGACTTGCACCTTCTGGTGATGAAATGAGAACTTCTTGATGTATAGAAAAAACTCTCCACTGTGTCCTTGTCTGTACACATCCCAAAGACCCCCATCCATACTGCATCAGTCTTGGCAAAGGCCAAGCTTTCAGAGCTCAGTCAAGAATACTAAAGTATTTGTACTTCTTCCAAATCCAGTGCTGACCTTGTACTAACTCAGCCTTGAAAATTGGATAATTGAAAGGGTTTTTATAATTTTATCCACTGTCTTTTAAAATTACCAGATATTTGTGAGCTTATGCAGTCTTTACTGAAGTCCTGCTGCTTCTACTTGCAGAAACTTTCCAAGTTTCTCCTATTTGCAAACAAATCTCTTCCTAATGGTTACAGATGGGATGAAACAGAGAGCTATCTCAATGCTAAATACACAAGTAGCTCATGAATAAGGACATACCTCTTCAATACTAATTCGAAGAGAGAAAATCCAGGAAGAATATGGATTTTCAGTTAGGCTGTATGTCACTTTATGTATGTTGCACATTGTTCCAGGAGTCAGAGCTGCCCATGAAAACTGACCTGAAATTATATGTCTTTCTGCTCTGCCCAAAGAAGAACTGGAAATCAGTACTGTACAGTATGTTCATGGCATTTGTGCAATTTGACTCTGTTAATTCCTGAGGGCTTTTTCTTCATGCTGTTATTTGCAGTCTTAATATAGATAGTTTCCATATTTGAAAAATAAAGGGAATTTTTTCCACAATATTTTTCCATTATGTTTTTTTGTATTATTTTTCCTCAGTACTGTGACCTTCCAAAGTCAGAGACATGACATTATGTATTATACTTTCTTATCTCCATGTGCCTACCTCAGATATTGGCAAGGTCTTTCCCCAAAGATTCTTCTTTGATGCCATCTTTGGCATATGTCCATAAACTGACAAAGCTACATGAGGTTTGCTTCATCTGCACCAGATAGCACATAGGCACATACTTCCATCTGGAAAATCCACCCCCAAAAAAGGTTATGTGGAAGAGGTCTCAGAGGCTTAAACAATAATTGGTTTACATTACTTGCCAAAATGTTGCATTAATGGCAAGGCATCTGCAGAAAGTGAAAGCTGTTTGTTCTCCCCTTGATACCCCTTTTTCTTCTGTTCCCTAAGGGACAGGAATCAAGCTGAATAACAGGGATGCTGGGGAAAGGGCATCCCTAGTCCCCCAGCACCCAAGAAAGGCAACAGCACAGACTCGGAAGTCAGATCATAAGACAACAGGTTATGAGCAGGTCTGAGGTGTGGGTCCCAAGGAAGGCTGCCCAGGGCCATTAAGGTCTAATAGTCTACTTGGGGTACATCTGCAATCTAGCCCACCCCTCCTGCCCCCCAGCCATGCAGACTCCTGTGTGGTAGCAGCAGCTTGGCTGAGGGGCCTCTGAAGATCCCCAGTCAAATCCCTCTGCTCAGAACAGAAGTAACTTGCGCAGGCTGCTCAGGACTTTGTGTGATTGGATTTTGAACATCTCCAAGGATGCATGTTCCACACACTGTTCCAGCACTCAATCACCCCCATTGTAAAAATGCTTTTCTTCATTTAAATAGAATTTCTTGTCTTTGAATGTGTGTCCATTGCCTATTGTCTTTTCACCAAATACCACTGAGACAAGTCTCAAGGCTCCTTTGAATCTTTAAATTTAATTTAATCTTTGAACAGTGTTATATGTAGTAGATATAATGCGCGCCATTTCTAATATGATATATGTGATATTGAATATTTGTTAGAGTATACACGTTTGTATTAGGATTCCCCCCACCCTTGCAGGCGAGACCGGGTGTATATTAGAAACTGATTTACAAGTAAGAAGGTACGGCTCGCCAGGAGATGGGCCATGGCTGGAGAGATACAGAAACCCCAGGGGCTGATCGTTCGCGAACGACCCGAGATGGACATAATGGAAATCCTTGGGCAGATACATGTGAATGCAGCGTTCCCGAATTCCCGTAAATTTCATCAAGGGATTCAACAAACTCCGGACACTGAATTGTTCTCCCTCATCACCAAAAAAGAAAATCTTATTAACCTATGGACTCCGAATAGAAGAAAAGACTGACTGCCGAAATCTTAGCCTCAGGCGGAATTTTCCCTATAAAAACCGCTTGTGCCAGGATGGAGGTGTGTGGGCATAGAGGAAAACCTCTGCTGAGGCTGACTTCTTGTCGCACACCCAGGGCTGACCCTGGGCTCGGCTCTGTTTTTTCCTTGTGGCTGGCTAGATAGAATTTGATTGCAAAATAAATATTTTAATTTTTCATATTAATTTGGCTGGACAAATTTTCATTTATAACAAACAGGATGGAAGTATGGGCTGACAGGAACATCATGAAATTCAGTGAAAAAAAATGCAATGTCCTGCACCTGAGGAGGAATAACATGCACCAGGACACACGAGGGGCCAAATTGCTGAAGAGCAGCTCTGCGGGGAAGAACCTGAGGGCTCTGCTGGACCCTGAGTTGGACCCGAGACACTGCCATGGCCCTGCCTGTCCTGGCCCCGTGAGGTTCAGGAACGGAGCCTTGCCTCAGCACTGCAGAGCCGAGCTGTGTCCAGCTGTGGGCTCTCCACTCCAAGCGCCCACGGACACACCATGAAGAGTCCGGAGAAGAACTGCAGAGATGATGGAGGGACTGGGCATCTCCCCTGAGGAAAGGCTGGGGGAGCTGGCACTGCAGCCTGCTGAAGGAAGGCTCGGGGGTGTCATAAATGTAGAGCAGTACCTACTTAGGGGAGGTGTGAAGACAGAGCCAGGCTCTTCTCAGTACTGCCTGGTGACAGGACAGGAAGCAATAGGCACAAAACGAAACACGGTTGGGGGAGTGGGCTCCCTCGGAATATCAGGAAAGACTTTTGTACACAGAAGCTGCCGGAGCAGTGGCACAGGGTCATTAGACAAATTATAGAGTCTCCATTTTTGGGCAGGTGACTGCAGGGAACCGAGGAGGAAAAGGAAGGCCGGGCAGCGGCCAAAGCCACTCTCGTGCCGAGCGGGTTCGGCGGGGCCCGGGCTCGAACTCGCGGCCACGGGCGGGCTCGGACGTGCGCGCCGCCACGCGGCCCCGCGCGGGCGGGGCGGGCGCTGCTGGGAGCGGAAGTGAGGCGCGCGCGCCGGCAGCATGGCGGCCGCGCGCTGGTGGCGTCTGTGCGGGCGCTGGCGGCCCGCGGTCACCGGGCCCGCCCTGGGGCCCGCGCGGCGCCGCCTCTGGGCGCCCGCCGCCGCCGGCCCGGCCCCGCTGGGCTCCGCGCCGCCGCCCCGCGCCACCTTCAGCGCCGGCCCGCGCTGGCACCAGCGCAGCCCCGGCGGTCTGCCTGGGGGCGACGCGCTGGAAGGCGGCGGCGGCGGCGAGGACAGCGGCGGTGGCGGGGCGGACAGTGGCGGGGCCGGGCCCGGGCCCGTCATAACGGCCTTGACGCCGCTGCTCGTCCCGGAGCATTTCCCCAACGTCCCGCTCATCGCCGTGACACGCAACCCTGTATTCCCGCGCTTCATCAAGATCATCGAGGTGAGCTGCCCCCGGGGCCGGGGCTGGGCTCTGCGGCCCGGCCTGGGCGGGAGCTGCCGCCAGGTGCCGGAGCCTCGGCGGGAGGTGCTCTGGGCCGGGGGCAGCTTGGCCTGGCCTTGCAGCCTCAGGCGGGAGTGCCGCGGTGGTATCGCCCCGGGCCGTGCGGGGATCACCGGCTGACCCGCCGCTGGCCGTGCCGCCTCTCCTGACCGCTCTCTTGGCCTGGGCGGGTCCCTTGAACTGCGGAGCAAGGCGGCAGCAGCGTGACCTCCACGGGCAGCCGCTGCTCGGCCTTTATCTCCAGCTTTATAACCCAGTCCTGTCGGGATAACGATTTCTTTTGGGCCAGTTGAAGTTTCACTGTAATTGCATCAGCAGTTTTGCTTCTAACAGAGAAGGTCGGCGATTCACACATACTCTCTCGAAGTTCGCTGTCATTTTTGTGTTCTCTGATGAAGGTTAAGCAAACGTGTCCTTGTTTCGGGGCCGTAGGCTGGTGTCAGAGCACCGAAACCCGTGCTGGTGAGGGCAGCAAGCTGTGAGCTGCAAGAAAAAGACAGGAATACGGTGTAGAGCAGTACAGCTGCGGTGGGAGAGGGTGTTGAGGCATGGGGATGGCAATCACCATTTCAGAGTGTGATCTTAAGAGTTATGAATTATATCAGTGATGTGTTTCTTGAGCTTACAGGCCAGAAATACTTCTTCCCTCTTAAATGAAACCCAATCTGTAACAAGTACTTGTATTTTTGTGCCTCTCTGGTGTGTTGCCAGTCTGATTTTGAAGTAAATGTAGTATGAAATAGATCAATATTTTCTTGTTCCTGTAGTATTATTTAGCATAATGTTGTTTCTACTGTAGTATTTTTCTGCGTGTCAAAATCTAATATGTGCAGCTTCTAGCGTCTTTACAAATGTGTCAAGGGAAGGAGAAAATTATATATTATTAAGAGTATGCAGTCATATAACACTTATGTACAGAAATCATCAATTTCAATGCTTGGGTCAACAATGTCTCACAGAATTGTTAAATGTTTTCTCTTATCCTGTGAATTCATTGTGCTGCAATTTACCTGACAAGGTCGAGTCTCTACATTGCCTATGGAATTACTAATTTTCTTCCTGTTAATATCTCTAACATTGGTAAGCATATTTTGCGGAACAAAATCGCACAAAATTGGAATAGGTATGCTAAGATTAGAATGGGCCAACAGTGGTGGTATTACTCGTGCTATTCTGTCAGAACCATGCTGATTGTTAGCAAAGCGTTGAGCAATGCAGCTTATGTCCATCACTTTGAAGAGCACTCAGTGGCTGGCAGGGTGACTTCATGCAAACAGCAGAATTTACAAGGAGTTATTTTCTTGGTCACTGAGGATTCAGCCTGCTGTGATAACAGTTCCAGTGGTGCTGGGAGATCTGCCAAGGACAGGTGTGTGGCATCTAGAGATCAGAGGGAAGTAAGAAAGTAAACTAGGAAGAAATACTGGCTGAAACTCAAAGCAGGAGCTCAGACTCGTGGGTGTAGGAGAGGAATTGAGCAGAGAAGGCTTTGGAGAAGAGCATTTTAACTAGGGTTTTGGGGCAGAATTCAGGTAACTAATAGGGAAGGGTGGACTAACTCCCCATCAGGAGCAGAGGGCTAGGATGCACAGGTATGGAAGGGGAAGGGAACAGTGATAGCAACAGAAAGATACAACATAAGATACTGTTCAAGTAACTTAAAAGCTTTTTTGCTTGTAATACTTGTACAGGTCTTAGTTCCTCCCCCATCCTTTGAGCTTGTCTTATCTTGACTGGGAAGTGATTTGTTCAGAATACTTAAATTTCATGTTTCTTTACCTTTTTTCCACTTTTGTATTACTGTCCTCTAATGGAGGCAAGACTAGAACTGTACAAGCTCCAACTTCATAATTTAGTTGTAGGGTTGTCATCATGCCTGGCCTTATACCCTGGGAGTGCAAAGATTACAGAAAATCCACCTCTGATTGCATACCTCTTGTCCTAGGTGAAAAATAAGAAGCTGGTTGAACTGCTGAGGAGGAAAGTTCGTCTTGCCCAGCCTTATGCTGGTGTTTTTCTTAAAAAGGATGACAAGTAAGTTGTTTCTCTTAATCGTTTTAAAAAATACAAAAATAAGCTGTCCAGGTTGTATTTACACTAAAAGCTGTCATCCTAAATGCCCTGCCTTGGACAGCATTGCAGAAATTGTGGCTGGTCTTGGACCATCCTCATGCTGTGAAAGTCTTTGTTGCCACCAGCAGCGCTGCTGGGAGCTGGAGTCTTGGTATAGAAAAGAGTGGTGTTGTTTGGGATGGAGATGAGCTGTCCTGATAGTTGGGTGATTTGGAAAGGGGTTACATGGTGGTAGCAATGGGGATTAAGTGTCTTTGCACCTAAGTCGAGTTTAAAGTTCTGCAGTGATTTTTAAATTTTTTTTAATCTGACCTACTATCTCAAGTTTCTGAATATCTACTCCGATTTTTTTTGCTCAATAGCAATGAATCTGATGTGGTGGAGGATCTGAATGAAATATACCAAATGGGAACTTTTGTCCAGATTCATGAAATGCAGGATCTTGGAGACAAGTTGCGTATGATAGTCATGGGACACCGAAGGTTGGTTTCTTGTACTTCACTGCATCTCACCAGGCTGCTGTTTAAACAGAGATATCCTGTATCAGTTTCACCACATACATGCTTTTTTTTTTACACAACTTGTGTATGGCAAGTTTTTCCTTTGTTACCATGCCATATCCTGTGAGTGTCAGGATATTCCATGTACTGTCACAGCTGTGACAGGTTAGCTGCAAAACAAAAGAGACAGTGCATGTCATTGTCATACCAACTGTGATATGATGCAAGCAAACTTTCATTAAGCTGAAATTTAGCAGTTACTTTGACAATTACAGCAAGACTTGGTGACAAAAAAAATCTCTGGAATTAATTCAAGCCAGTATTTCTGCTTTAAAAATTGAGGCGGGGGTGGGTTTCAGAATTTTAATTATGTCTTGCCCCAGTCATAATTTTGCCCCAGAACTGAATTGAAGAAAATATGATTATTGCTGAAAATCTAGTTTTAGCCATTTATGCCAGATATTTTTAACTAAGTTAAGAAATTATATTTTTAAAAGCATTAAATAAGTAATTTCCTTTAGAAGGAAAAATACAAGGACAGAAACATGGTCAAAGGAACAGGGTGGGGTTTGCTTTGAAGCATGTCTTTTTTTCCTTCTCACTTTTCTTCACTTGCATTTGTTCTGGACAGCAAAGAATGAGCAGTCCTGTCAAAACTAAATTTGCGTGAATTCACAAGTCAGTTCCTTTTCAAATGAAGTCTTAGACCTCTTGCTGCATTATCAAAGCACAGCCATGTTTGATTGCATTTTGGAAATAAGCTACTGGTTTGGGGTTATTTGGAATATAAATATTTCCCTATAACTTGGAAGGGTTTGGTATTCCTAAGATATAACTTTAGGATTGGTATTTATATTTGATTAAGACATGAAGCACTGGTCAATCATGTCCATAGGAACCACACTAGATACCAGATTTGAGGAGCATTTATAGGGAAACAGATAGAAAAGCAAATTCGTGTCTAAAAGCCAAAATAATGAAACATGGTGTCTTGCAAATGTGTGTCCTTTCTAAATTTTAGCTTGTTCAAAATACAGCTTAGACTCTCTCCTTTTCATGCTGAAGAGCTGATATCTCATGTAACAAGGAGATTGTTGCTGGTTTCTTTTGGCTTTCAGGATTCGTATAAACAAGCAACTAGAGGTTGAGCCTGAGGAACCTGAGAACAAACAAAAAATTAGAAGGAAACAGAAGCGATCTAAAAAGGAGGCTGAAGAGGAGCCTGGAACGAAGGACCAAGATGTGGAGTTGGTACTAGATCCTGTAGCTGCTTCTTCGAAGGAAGTTCTCATGGTAGAAGTAGAGAACGTGGTTCATGAAGATTTTCAGATCACAGAAGAGGTTAAAGTAAGTGAATTAGTTTACAAGTTTGGACTTGTCCTGTAGAATTGCACCTACACTTCTTGCTTAAAAGGAAAAGTTCTAAAACCAGGCTGTAATTTCAGGCTGCAGAAACTAGTTCCTTCTCACAGTCACTGCACAAGGGGATTATATGAAAGTAAAGAATTTTCATTATAACAGCTCACTTCCTTAAAACTGTTGACTTCAAAAAGTTGCTGAATGAAGAGGCTAGTCTGCGCTTAAATCTATGTGATGACCTCCCTCAAACTGAGTGTTTCCTTGAAGTCGGCTTTGGGTGTTCAACCTGATTGTATCTTCTGCCCAAAAGCCAGTCAAGTTCTGTGCATGCAGAAAACCAGCCTAGAGGCCTTGCTGCCTTTCCTGTGAGCAGGAACTGCCCCAGCACCAAGAACCATCACAGCCCACCACTGCAGTGAGTGGCTGGACTCTGGGGAATGTAATATTTGTACTGAGATCTTGCCTATCTTTTCCATTCTTTTGGTGATTAGATTTTGTTGTGTTTATAGGCACTTACTGCAGAAATCGTTAAAACAATCCGGGACATCATTGCCTTGAACCCCTTGTACAGGTATGTCCTTCCCATGCTGCCCTGCTTTGAGAACAGCATGTTCTCAGGGTGGAAGATACTGACCTTTTCTATACCACTTGTCTTTCTGTTGTAATGAGGTAGATATATTTGCTGAATTGTCACATAGATTTTTGGTTTGGGATATAAACTCTGTCCCTTGTTGGAATCAAAGTTTTGAAAACCTGATGTGCAATTTAGAAACAACATATAACAATTAAGTCCTAAGGCAGGTGATCTGGGTCTAAGTGCAACCCACTGCAATGAAATAAGCATCATGATCTGATCCACGTCTTAAAAGCTGGATAAAAGTTTTGGCATACTGGCACAAAAAATCCTACATAACTGTTTGGAGAGCATTTCAGATACTTAATTTTGTATATTGGTGATCATTCCTCTAAACCAAGTGATTTATCTATTTGTTACTGAGTATTGCTACAGTCACTTTCAAAAATAGTTTGCTATGAAACTGAGCTGTGTTTCATTTTATTGCACTGTCTAACAAGTAAATTAGGATATTCCATTTTGAATGTAGATTAACAGAGCATTTTGGGGTTTTTTACGTTTTCTTTTCAGAGAGTCTGTACTTCAGATGATGCAGGCTGGACAGCGTGTGGTAGATAACCCTATCTATCTGAGTGACATGGGTGCAGCCCTAACAGGGGCAGAGTCACACGAACTTCAAGACATCTTGGAAGAAACCAGTGTAAGATGAAGTTTTTAACTCAAGCAATGTGAATGGAATCAGTATATCTGTTGTATGTCACCTTTTCTTTACCGGCTTCAGTAGAGAAGATACTACAGTGCTACTTTTGATGCTACATTAATATCAGTGACTAGATTCCTGTTGAAGAATAAAGTAGATCATTAGTACTGATGCACTGTGGCTAAATCAGAGTGCTCTGCATCTTTGGCAGCATATAATTTTCTTAACTGCAATGGAGTTGCTACATGTTGGTCTTTCCACATCTGCAGGTGCTGTAAAGCTCTCCCAGACAACCTGTTGGAGTTTTTTATTCTGTCTTTCTCTCTGGGAGGGAGAAAGTGTGTGTGTGTGTGTGTGTGTATATATATATGTGTGTGTGTGTGTGTGTGTGTGTGTTACTTAACAAGGGTATGGCATCTCAAAACTCATTTTTTGTTCAAAACGCATTTTTTGTCTATATTTTCCAGATTCCCAAACGGCTTTATAAAGCTCTTTCCCTTCTGAAAAAGGAGTATGAGCTGAGCAAACTTCAGCAGCGTCTTGGAAGAGAGGTAAGTTTGTGGAGTAACAAATACCTTGTGTGTATTCATATTGTGTCCACCACTGTGATGCTTAGTATGGGTATGTGCTCTAAAGGGTGCATTATTTAGATTTAAGGTTTTCTGTTAGAAATGTGTTTTTTCATGCACATGGTAGAAGTAACAAGACATGAGGCTACAGCATCTGCCGTTAAATTGTGTCTAAGTTGTAGTTTCATGCAAGCAGATATATCTAGAGGTCTGCAGTTTACCAATCATCCGTGTAACAATATAGAGCCTAATACTGTATATAGTATGTACTAGTGTAAATAGCAAAATGTCATTTCAGATGACCTTCTGCTAACTCTTGTGAACTGCAGTAGCTGCTGTCTATTGTAAGATTGAATCAGAATACAGTAACTGCATCTAAATGGTAATGAAGTATGTGAAGTACAAATATTTGAGAATACTGACTCATGTTTTGTTTGTTAACTCCCAGTAACTGGGGCTTTTAGAATTCATATTAAGTGCAAAATGCTTTTGGACCGGGATTGGAATGGTTGGAGACTTCTTAAGCAAATTGAACAGATGCAACCTCTGGGAACAGATATATATCTAGGGATGCTGAGAGGGCTTATCAATGTCATTATCTGTTTTTTTCACTCATCATTAAAGCACTGTGGTCATGGAAGAGGTTCCTGGGAAGCAGAAAAAGGTAAATGCCATGCCCATCTCCAAGAAGGAGAATCGGGGAGACTGTAGGCATGTTAACCTGCCCCAGTCCCTGGGAAGATTATGGAGAAAATTCTCCAATAAGTTGGGCATATGAAAAAGGACATGATTTGGGACAGCTAGAAGGGATTTCCCAAAAGCAAGCTGCCTAATTGTCTTCTCCTATGAGAGGGCCCAGAACACAGAAAGGAAACAAGGTTTAATGGTGGGCTTGGCAGGGCTAGGTTAACTGTTGGACTCAATGATCTCAGACATCTTTTCCTACCTAAATGATTCTGTGATTCTAGAAATGATTGTTATATACCTTGACATTTGCATGGCCTTTGCTGAGGTCAACTGTAATAGTATTCTGACTAAATTGAGATGTTACAGACTGGAAGTATGTAGTATGAGGTTGGTGAAAAATTCGCTAGATTAATGGGCAGAAAGACTTTACCATGTTGATCACAATACTAATTTCAGCCAGCTACTAGTGGTATCCCCTCGGGGAGTTAGTAAGAACCTACTTAAGTTCTGCTAAGAGAAATTCATAGTCCCAGACGAGGCCTGGAATAATCAGGATAGAAAATAGCTATACAGGAAAGGACTTGAAGCCCTGATGTGAAGGAGGCTCACCATGAGTTAGTAGACTGTCCTTGTGGAATGGAAGGCCAACTACATACTGAGCTTCAGTTGCCCTGTGTAGGCAGCAGGTAGAGAGTAGTGGTTAGCCCTCTCTGTTTGGTACTAAGGAGGTCACATCTGCATTACTCTGCCCAGCTTTTGGTCTCCCCAACACAAACAGAACGTTGAAGCACTGAATCATGACCAGTGAAGGCCACCAAGATATGGAGGGTGCTGGAGTATGTTATTAAGTCACTTCTTGTGTTAGAATACACTGCAGATTAGTTCCAAGTAGTATTTTTAGTTGCTGGGAACATTATAACTGAGAAGTATTTGGAAGCGTTTGATGTTAGATGGTCTGTACCAGGAGCACATTGGTTATGGTATTTGTTGCTTTGTCTAGGTTGAAGAGAAGATCAAACAAACACATCGCAAGTATCTTCTTCAAGAGCAGTTGAAGATAATTAAGAAAGAACTAGGTCTGGAAAAAGAGGACAAGGATGCTATAGAAGAGAAGTTCCGTGAGCGACTAAAGGATCTGGTAGTGCCAAAACATGTAATGGATGTGATTGATGAAGAATTGAACAAGTTGGGCTTGTTGGATAATCACTCCTCAGAATTCAAGTGAGTGCATGGCCATGACATGCTGGCAGGGTTTGTTGGGAGAGTGAAACATCAGTGCAGTTCTGTGAAGCACTTACTTTAGTCCCTCCCTTCCCTGTAGCATATCATTACATTATAGGATTTTTCTCCAAATTGCCTGTGTTTACTTATGTAGTCTACCTCTTTTGAATATTTTAGGTCTTGTCTTCTCTTTGAGTCTGATGCTAGAGATACAATATGTGCAGTTAGTTCCTCGTGAAATGTTCAGTGATACTTTTTCTGCCTTCAGTTTTGGCTCTTCTTTCCCGTACTTTAGTGTCCTCAGTAGATGTGAGAGAAGCTAATACATGTCATTGGCCAAGCTACCTGAGGTGGTTACTGAAGTATTGGAATTGCTAAGGAGTGAATGAATAGTTTGTAACATGTGTTCTGTGATGTGAATTGTTAGAAACGAAGGTCGACGTGAACATTTCTTGTCTGTTGAGTCAGAGTGTACTATATTAGACAGCAGTTGGTGTACTTATCAGCTCTCTTAATGTTCCGGGTCTCTGCTTTTGAAAGTATCTTTTACAAAGTAAAAGACAGTGTTTAAGGGCAAGCATACGTTTGGATGAGCAGCATCTTGGCAATCATAGAAAAGACATATTGGGCTTCACAGGCAGCGTTATTACCTTTCCTTTTCCTTCAGAGTTGTGGCAGTGATTGCAAATTTGCAAAGCAAGTACTTGGGAGAAAAAAGCCAAAGCTGTGGTGGCATGGCAATTGGCCTTGGGTGGATCCTGCTCTCAGACAGCCTGGCTGTTCTTCCCTATGTCCGTGACTGTGCCCAACTTGATAGTTACTGCATTGTGCAGACCTTCCTGTACACTTGAATTCCTGATCTAAGTGTGTAGTTTTAGAACAGTGAGTAGTGGTTTGACACACTTGTGTTCTCTTCAGTTTGTTTATGCTGATTATCTCTACTGTTAACTTCCATACTGTCATCATTTTCCTCATCTTAAATCTTTCTCTGTAGTGTTGGAGTTTCTTTGTTTCAGAAAAGCAAAAGCTGGGAAAAAAAGCTTTGTTTTTTTGGGGGGGGGAAGGTTGAAGACTGTGAAAAAGGTTAGCAGTGACAACCCAAATAGTGATGTGCTTTTCATAGGCTCTCTTCCATTAGTAGTTCATATCCCCCTTCTTCTGGATGAAGTTGTTTTGGAAGGTGGTGGAGGAAGACATGAGCTGGTCAATCACTCTCATTTGTGTGTTTCTGACAGTGTTACACGGAACTATTTGGACTGGCTGACATCCATCCCATGGGGTAAATGTAGTGAGGAGAACCTGGAGCTGGCTAGAGCCCAAGAGGTTCTGGAGGAGGATCACTATGGAATGGATGACGTCAAGAAGCGAATTCTGGTAAGGCAGTGTGTCGCATTTCACACTGCTTAACATCAGGCATTTTGGATGTGTTTCAGATTGCAGTCTCCATTTAATTGGTGTTAATTCATGCATCAAACATAAAGCTGCATGAAAGACCCAAATGTTCTGGTAATCAGTTAATGTACTTAATTACTTGTGGCAATGAAGGTCACATTCTCATTTCAAACTGCAGTATTCTGGTTTGCACTAAATGCTGGGCAAGTAAGTGTCCAAGGGAAGCAATCTCTTGATTTTTTTTTTCCCCACTTGCACAGTAATTTCTTCACTGTAAGTGAAGTTGAAGTTTCAGTTTTGAACTGTGATCTTTTGATTTCTCAATTGTTCAGTGTTACTTGAGGGTTGTCTGTCACAGAAGTGTGAAATAAGACAAGCTTAACTTAGCACATGGGAGTGATACAATAGGAGATGCTCACATGTAGCTTGAGAGACTCAGGTGAGAACAAGAGAAGCTGGGAGAAGAACTTGAACTCTGTCTTCTCACTCAAAGGCAGTGGAGAGAGACTGCTTCTTCTGATGAGATGATACAGAGCACAGAAGTTGGGGACAGACAAGCATATAAATAACCAGAGGCAAAACAGATGCATCAGTATCCTGACTTAGCTTCTCCACTTATCCTCCCCCAAGTCCTTTGAGAACCAGTTTTGTGTATGATGCTTGTTTTGTAATCACTGCTTGACCTGATAACAAATGTGTTTTGGTGTTGCTGATATTCCCTTCTGTTCACTGCTGGTGCTTTATCTGTTCTACAGGAATTTATTGCAGTCAGCCAGCTGCGAGGATCCACTCAGGGGAAGATTTTGTGTTTTTATGGTCCCCCTGGAGTTGGCAAAACCAGTATTGCTCGCTCCATTGCCAGAGCCCTAAACAGAGAGTACTTCCGCTTTAGTGTTGGAGGGATGACTGATGTAGCAGAAATAAAAGGACACAGGTCAGTGTAATTTGAGAAATTTCTTTATCCAGCAGTTTTTACTGAAGTAAATAGGAATCTAAATGAAGTTGAACAATGTGTGTAATTCTCATCTCTGTTTTGCCAGCCCTTGCTGACAGGAGTTGAGATACAGAAAGAGGTGACAAAGATAGCAAAGGGTGGAGTTTGGAAGATAATTTATATTTGTGCTTTTAAGTGCAATTGCTCCCTGTTTCTTGTGCATTCTCAGCTTTGAAAAGCTGAGTGAGCTACTCAAAACCACTGGACTGATGACAAATGCTAATACAGGCATTTGTGTAGATGTCAGAACTAGAGAACGGTCACAGCTTGAACAGAGTCATTCACATATGTGTTCAGATATGATTGAGACTTGGTTTCCAAATAATCAGGATGGAGATGCTGCATGAGGAAAATCTGGAAAAAAGAACATTCATGGGGAGAACAAGAAGTGAATAAAAAATCGGTAGACTCATGGGGAAAACGAGAAGTTAACAAAAAATGGGTAGATCTGACCCTTCCATGGGTTTATTTTCCTTCTATATACAAAAAAATCCTAGAATGGTTTGCACTGAAAGTGACCTCTGGAGATTGTCTAGACCATTGCCCTGCTAAAGTAGGGGAGACGCAGAGGTGTTTAACACCTTCTTTGCGTCAGTCTTTAGTGGAAATATGGCTTGTCCTCAGGACAACTGTCCTCCTGTGTTAGTAGGTCGTGTCAGGGAGCAGAATGGGCCCCAATGTTATCCATGGGGAGACAGTCAGAGAACTGCTGAGCTGCTTGGATGTTCATAAATACATGGGACCAGATGGGATCCACCCCAGGATGATGGTGGAGCTGGCAAACGAGCTTGCCAAGCTGCTCTCCATCATTTACTGACAGTCCTGACTCACTGGTGAGGTTCCAGATGACTGGAAGCTGGCCAATGGGATACCCATTTACAACAAGGGTGAGAAGGAGGATCCTGGTAATTATGGGCCAGTTAGCCTGACCTCAGTACCTGGTAAGGTCATGGAACAGTTTACCCTGAGTGTCATCACACAGCACTTACAGGGTGGCCAGGGTGTCAGACCCAGCCAGCAGGGGTTTAGGAGGGCTAGGTTGTGTTTGACCAGCCTGGTCTCCTTTCATGACCAGGTGACCCTCCTGCTGGATGGGGTACAGGCTGTGGCTGTGTCTGTTTGGACTCCAGCAAGGCCTTTGGCACTGTCTCCCACAGCACACTCCTGGAAAAGCTGCAGCCCATGGCTGGGCCAGGAGCACTCTGTGCTGGGTTCAGAACTGGCTGGATGGCTGGCCCAGAGTGGTGGTGAGTGGTGCTGCATCCAGCTGGGGACAGGCACCAGTGGTGTCCCTCAGGGCTCTGTGCTGGGCCAACTCTGTTCAATATTTTTATTGATGACATGGATGAGGATGAGTCTTACATCAGTACATTTGTAGATGACACTAAACTGGGAGCGTGTGTCCATCTGTTGGAAGGTAGGAGGGCTCTGCAGGGAGACCTGGAACAGTTGGATGGATGGGCAGAGTCTAACAAGATGACATTTAATAAGTCGAAGTGCTGAGTCCTGCATTTTGGCACAAGAACCCCCTGCAATGCTATAGGCTGGGGATGGTGTGGCTGATCAGTGCCTAGGTGTTGGAACTCAAAATGTCCCTCAGACATTTTGGGTGTTCCGGGTCCAGGTCAGAAGCATTTGAGACCCTGGCAGGCAGCTGGAAACAGCTGTGATTTTGGATTTGAACCATGGAATGATTTACCAACCTTGCAGGAAGAACAAGAAGTCACAAAAGTTGAGATATTAGAGTAGAAGTAGTCCCAAAATAAAGGGAAGAATTTTTGAGTGCTGTACAGAGGGGTTTTAAGTCCTGTACAGGGGGGTTTTGGTTTTGTACATGGGGGTCAGAAGTTTTAAGATGGAGGAATGTAGGCCGGTCCTGTCCTCCCTCTTTCTTTTTCCTTACCTCCATGTTCTTGGTGATGTTGGCACTCACAGATTGGTTTAGAGTAGAAAGGCACCATTTAATAAAGGTAATAGGCATTGGGGGAAAACTATAAACATTTAACACGTAATGTACCATATAAAAGACAGCAGCAGCCCTGGGCAGAGGGGGAGAGAAGAAGCAGTCGGGAGTCAGAGAGGATGTCAGGGTGTGTGTGTGCCTCTGCCTGAGCTGTGAGCAAACCGCAGCAGCCCCAGAAGAAAATCTTTTAGATAGCTTGCAATAAAGACCGAACAACAGAAGACTTCTGAGCTTTTTTTTTGAAACCATGGGTTGGAGGAGAGATTTTTCCACCACACAGAGCCACCCCCGACCTAGGGTGAGCTCCGGCACCCAGGCAGAAAGGGACCTGGGGGCACTGGTCGACAACCGGCTGAACAGGAGCCAGCAGTGTGCCCTGGTGGCCAAGAAGGCCAGTGGCATCCTGGCCTGTGTCAGGAATAGTGTGGCCAGCAGGAGCAGGGAGGTCACTCTTCCCCTGCACTTGGCACTGGTGAGGCTGCACCTTGAGTGCTGTGTCCAGTGTTGGGCCCCTCAGTTTAGAAAAAGAACGTTGAGATACTTGAGCACGCCCAGAGAAGGGCAACAAGGCAGGTGAGGGGCTTGGAACACAAGCCCTATGAGGAATGTCTGAGGGAGCTGGTGTTGTTCATCCTGAACAAAAGGAGATTCAGAGGTGACCTTAATTGCTCTCTACAACTCCCTGAAGGGTAGTTGTAGTCAGGTGGGGATCAGTCTCTTTCACTGGGCAGCAACTGATGGAACCAGAGGACACAGTCTCAAGCTGCACCAAGAGAAATATCGGTTGGATATTAGGAAAAAGTTTTTTACAGAAAGGACGATAAAGTACTGGAATGGTCTGCTCACGGAAGTGGTGGAGTTGCCATCCCTGGATGTGCTTAAAAAAGGACTGGATATGGTACTCGGTGCCATGGTCTAGTTGAGGTGCTGGGCCTGGGTTGGACTCAGTGATCTTGAAAGGTCTCTTCCAACCCAGGGATTCTGTATGATTCTGTGTAAAGCAGGTTCAGCTACAGCAGGTTGCACAGGATGGTGTCCAGACATGTTTTGAATGTCTCCAGAGAAATAGATCCCACAGCCTCTCTGGGCAGCCTTTTCCTGGGCTCTGCCCCCCTCAATGTACCCCCTCAATAAGTTTCCCCTCATATTCAGGTGGAACTTCCTGTGTTTCAGTTTGTGCCCATTGGCCTGTGTCCTGTCACTGGGCACCACTGGCAAGAGTCTGGCCCTGTCCTCTTGACACCCACCCTTCAGATATTTTTACATGTTGATAAGATCCCCTTTCAGTCAGCTAAAGGCTAACAGGCCCAGCTCCCTCAGCCTTTCCTCTGAGAGATGCTCCAGTCTTCTCATCACCTTCACAGCCCTCCATTAGACCCTCCCCAGCAGTTCCTTTTCTTTCTTGAACTCCTAAGTCCAGAACTGGGCACGACACTTCAGGTGTGGCCTGAGCAGAGCAGAGGGTCTGCATCTGAACATAAAACCAGCGCTGTTTTCAAACCAGTAAGAGTAGCCATTCTGTGGAGTAAATTGAACCTGCAGGGCTCTGCCTTACCCAGAAGCAGAGAAAAATATTTTCTATGTTTCTCAGATGTTCTCTGTTCTGTGCCTCTCGGCCTTCACTCTGTTGTTACCCTTTTTGCTTCTACTTGTTTCTGGATACCAGAAGCAATCTCTAGCAGAAACGTTATATTTTACTATTAGCAATTTGTTTCTTTAGTATCTTTTGATTTACACTGGGTCTTTTTGTCCCTATCAAGTGAGGAAGTGAAATATTACCTCTTCTAACATTTCTTTCCCAAAACTCATGAAAATTCAAACAGCTCTATCCTCGGCCTAACCTCTTTGCTTTTCTCTAATTGAGAAGTGGTTTAAACTAAAGATAAAAACTGTAGTCCGGGAGTATTTTGCCAAAATTCATGTCAGTTCTTTACTAGAAACAGACTAGGTGGTCTTGGTGCTTAATATGGTGATACAGAATGCTTTTGATAGATGTTGAAGAAATAAAGACTTGTTTTTCAGCGGGATATACTTGTTCTGTCAGCTGTGTGATGTATGCTCTGATATGTGCTGTGCTTTTCAATGGTTCCCTAAATACAGTCTCTGGTAAAACAGGAGGACATATGTCGGAGCAATGCCAGGAAAAATCATCCAGTGTCTGAAGAAGACCAAGACAGAGAATCCACTTATACTGATTGATGAGGTGAAGTATTTAGTCTTTCTTCTAGGTTTTGCTCTTAAAGACTTGTATCAATTAGTGATCCCCAGAGAAAAGGTGAAGGAGTAACTCTCTTAAAAATGCCATGTTCTTTCTGTTTATATGAGGCTGGGCTCTCAAGTTCTCTGGGTGACACTGATACTTTAGATAGTTTGTTTTTTCTCTCCTTATAACAGACTCAAGCTTTAAAATTCTAGTTGTGTCCTTCTGATTAAATTATAGCTGTTTGGATCCTAATGGACCTGGCTATATATTCAGAGATTCTGTAGTTCTTGTGTTTCCTACATAGGTGTGAGCACATCACTGTGCACAAATCCACTGTTGCCTGTGTGATTATTAGCAAGAGTCACTCTGTCAGTAGGTCTAAAGCAGGACTCTAAGGAATAAGATGCTTACAATCAATTTGCGGTCTGATTGGAGAATGAGTCAGGACTACCAGCCTAATGCTTTGTTGAAAAGCAAATAAGGACAGGATATAATAGCAGGTGTTCAGAACAGACCGAAGGTCATTCTGGCCTTCTTGTGTGCTATATCTGGGAAGGACCAACAGCAGATTCTTGGGAGGAATGGTATGTGGGACCAATAAACTGTCATCTGTTGCAGCATGATGTAACCAATGAGTATCATAATTTGAAAGGTAATGGAACCTATCATAACCTGTAGGTTATGATACTTCCGTGGTGTTGGCCAGAATCCCTGCCTTGGCTGTAGCAGCAAATTTCATTGAGGCCATCCAGTTCACACTACTAAGGGAGAAGAAGCAGTGGCCTTGTTTGTATCCTCAGAAGCAAAGTTCACAGTGCTGGATGAGTCAATGACCTTGGCCATGGTCCTGGGCACCTGGTTCTAGTGGCCTTACGTGACCAGTGAGGTTGTTCAAGATGACTTCAGGAAGTCCTCATGAGCCTCAATCAACTTACAACTATAACAACAGCCCAAGCCACTAACCCAGCTCTGCTTGAATGGCTGTGTGTAGGCTTTTTGCACCTTGGCCAGAGCAACGCAAGGTCTGCGCTTGCATATTAGGGAAGTGGTGTAAGCTAGCACTCTAGTCCTCCCACTGTGGAGTAAGTGTTCTGGTCTGTGCCTATAGCTTATCTCAGCTTAACAAGTAGTAGCCCACTAGTAGTAGTGCTTTTTATTGTATGCACATTGCCTGAGACTTCATAGTGATTTTCTGCAACACTCAAAAATCCTGTGTCTTGTCAGGTGTGTCATGTGCTCACACAGGAAGATAGTGGAGACTTGGATGAGTGCACAGAAAACTGGTAGACTGGTACTGTATGTTAATGAACACTCATGAACATTTTCAGATGGAGCCTTGAAAAAAATCTTGCTCGAGACTTTATCATGGTATGAAACTTCTTAGAGTATTAAATTTTTTTTTCCCACAGGTAGATAAAATAGGAAGAGGCTATCAAGGGGATCCATCCTCAGCCCTTCTAGAACTGTTGGATCCAGAACAGAACTCTAACTTCTTGGATCATTATCTTGATGTTCCTGTGGATTTGTCAAAGGTATTTATCTTTTCTGCAGAGGTTGTAGAGCCAGAATGTCTGAATGTGTTTCAATGCAGAGATTTCCTGTCCATGAAAAGATGCTGACATTTTATTCCGCTAGAAAATCAGATAGAACATAAATGGTACACAACTGTCTCTGCAGGAGTTGGTTTTAACTGAAGTGTCTGTACATGAAATAACATGATCACCCGCCTATGTCCTAACTCCCTGCAGAGCCAGGGACAGATGTGTGGTCTCCACTAGAAAAGGCATGAGGTTTCCTTTACATGATGATTGGCAGAGCTGCTGTCAAGGGAGGTGGCCTAATGCTGCTGTGAAGCTTTTGAAATCGGTCATCTTTACACATTGTTGCACTTCTTGTGCAGCTGACATAAATTACAGAATTGACGCATTAGGAGTAGGTATAGATAATTGGGTCATTCTGAGCTAATTTCCTAGAAGGTAGAAAGAACTTCTGAGATCTAGATCTCCCATTTTCTGGTCCCTATCAAACCATTCTGATTTCCCAGTTTGTGCGTTGTGTATTTCTAAACATATATTTTAGGGGTAGGGAACATGCTATCACATAGTCCTAAAATTCAAACTTTTAATAAAAACTAATTCCACAGAGAGGGTGATCTTGCTCTAGCCCTTCAGACAGAGAAACACAGAACTTGGGAACTAGTACTTGGAGTAAAGCAACTGGTTAATGAAAGTTCTTAATGGGATCTTTTAATGCTTCCAGGTACTTTTTATTTGTACTGCCAATGTAACAGAAACCATTCCAGAGCCACTGCGGGATAGAATGGAAGTGATCAATGTGTCAGGATATGTAGCAGAAGAGAAACTTGCAATTGCAGAGGTAAGAGAAATCACTGTTGTGCTTTATGTGAATTGCATCTGGTAGATTTTTTTTTTGGTAGATTAAGGCTTACATATTGACATCCAACTATGTCTAAAAAAAAATAGGCACATGGTATTTTGGACAGAGTTCCTTTGATTTGAACACATAGTTAAAGTAACCCCAGTGTGCCACAGGCTGTGGACACCAGAAAGCAGCATTGAGCTAACAGCAGAAAGTTGAGTAAATTGGAACCACTCGGCTTTTGTCACAAATACTAAGAGAAGGATGTTGGGGTTATTTCTTTCAGAGATACTTGGTCCCTCAAGCACGAGTTCTGTGTGGCTTGGATGAAAACAAAGCTCAAATCACATCAGATGTCCTCACTGTTCTCATCAAGCAGTACTGCAGAGAGAGTGGGGTGAGGAATCTGCAGAAACAAGTAGAAAAGGTGAGGGGAAGTTAGGTGTAACTGACCACTATGCATCAGCCTTCTCAGCTTTTTTTACAGAGATAAATTACTGTTCCACCCAGGTATTGAGGAAATCTGCCTATAAAATCGTGAGTGGAGAAGCAGAGATGGTCCAAGTAACACCTGAAAACCTGCAGGACTTTGTAGGAAAGCCCATCTTCACTGTGGATCGCATGTATGAAACCACTCCCCCAGGAGTGGTGATGGGTCTGGCCTGGACAGCTATGGGTGAGACAAAATTAATTTTGGGTTAATGCCTACAGTTCTGTGTAATTTTCAAATGTTGAATGTAATAGTCAAACAGAACTGAGTCCAGTGATGTTCTTCTGTAGGCACCAGTAAAAGGAATTTCCTTTGGCCTTTGGATCCTGAATGCTACTTCCTTGAAGAAGGGAGCCTTTCTTACACCATTATCCAGGCTCAGCTTAGGGCCAGCATGTTTTTTCTTCAAGCTCCATGTCCCATACAAATGACATACATTAGGAACATCAGCAGCAGGAGGGTGCCACTATGATACAGCTGAGGAATGCTGTGTCTCATCAGTGATGTGCAACACTGACTTGATTTCTGGTGCTGAGGGCAGGTATAGGTGTTCCAGCACTCTGTGGAGTGGATGCAGTTGGCTGCTTACCATTAATTGGATTACTCCCCTAGTAACTTGTGGGTTTATGTACACTACAGGTTGGAAATACAGCACATAGCAAAGGAGATGACCTCTTCATACTCAAATTGACTTTGGGGAGAATTCAAGTAGCCAAGAGGGAAATTATCAGTATGGTGGAGAAGGTAAATAGATACCTGGCACTGGAGAATTGAAGTGGCTAAAAGTGTTTTATGAACTCAGCTTACTCCCTGGAGGAAGCAACATGAAACCATTATAAGAACTTGGTTATTTCCATTAAGTAGGGGTTGCATCTATGTTCCTAGAAGGTGAAGTCCAAAAAAGCAGTGAATGGAGACTGTTGAGATTTTTATTTAGCTTCCTGAAGGTATTTAAGGAACAGGTTTCAGTTGCTCTCTACTCAAGGGCTAGTGTCTCATCAGAGAGCATCAGTTCCAAATGCCTGACGTAGCTTCTGCATCACCAAAACATCCTAGTTTAATTTTCCTTTAACCTTTTTCAGATGTTTTTCTTTTCTTTTTTTAGGAGGTTCCACTCTGTTTATTGAAACATCTCTGAGGCGACCCAAAGACAAGGAAAACAAGGATGGGTCACTTGAAGTAACAGGGCAACTGGGAGATGTAATGAAAGAGAGTGCCAAAATTGCATACACATTTGCAAGAGCCTTTCTGATGCAGAAGGACCCCAGCAATGATTTTCTTATGTCTTGTCATATCCACTTGCATGTGCCGGAGGTAAATTGATGCAGAGTTCACAGAGCATGCACAGCAGCCCTGCTGATTTGCTCCCTTAGATGTAAAGCTGGAAGGCTTTTCATTTGTCCATATGTTGTGCAGAATGCCCTCTTCTAGCAGTAGAACCAAGGAATGAAGACATTTTCTTCATGCTCCTGTGAAGGTCTTCTTATGAGCCATGATTCCATTTTTTTTCTACAGAAAGCATGTGGCAGTACAGGGGCTTGGATAATTTTCTAAAAAAACCTAAGCTTTTGTTGTAGCTGTTGGCCCTGTTTTTCAAGTGGGGAAACCATGACATAGCGATAAGTGATTTGAGTAAATGCTTGGATGAAGTTACAAAGACATCGAAGTTTAGGTTTCTGTGTTATCAGGCCTTCTTAAAGGCTTCAAATCATTTACACTTTATTGAAAATACTACTCATGATCTCTGTGCCATGCTTCCTAGTCCATGTAATGGCAGTGATTGCTTTTGTCCAGTATTTGGGGCTGAAAATAAATGCCCACAGTGCTCAGAGTGGCTCACATGCTGTGTAACAAGCTTTGGGCAGGTGCTTTACTGAAGACAGATTTTTGAGCTGTGATTGTGCCCCAGCTTTACTTCTGGACTACTGAGTGCTCTGTGTGCAATGTCTTTGTTGCAGCTTGCTCTGTGTTGGTCCAGGTACTGCATTGCTGACTGTGAATTCATTTCCTGATAGATGAGAAAACAACAGACATGATCTCTGTCTCTACTCCCTCTCACATTTATTTCCTCTGCTCTTACTACAAAGAGGTTTGATCTCAGATAAATCCAGACTCACCAGTTCAGGCTTGGATTTTGTGGGGCTTTATGTACTGATCTTTTCTGCCTTGAATGATTTTTGATATTGTCCTCCACTAGTTTGTTACTCTTGACACTCTCCCCTTGTGATGTTGACTTAGGTCTAACAAAGAGCTTCAAAGTGTTTGTGCTCTTTTTTCCCTGATGTTGCTTACTCAAAGATCTGAGTCCAATGAGTATGGTGGTGACATCAGGCCAGAAACCACATTTGTGGACTCATTTGTGGATTATTTCTCATGAGTAAGGTGAGGAATGCCACATTTGTTAATATATCAGCCAAATCAAATAGCAAGATTCCATCACTCACACATGCAAAAACCTGTGAGGCTTCATGAAATTTGGACAATGTTAAAACAACAAGAACAAGGGCACTGACTATGCTGCTTCTTGAATGAGCAGGGGAGTTGTGCTTTGTTTTTTTAAACAGGGAGCAACCCCAAAGGATGGACCAAGTGCAGGATGTACCATAGTAACAGCTCTGCTGTCCCTGGCCATGAATTGCCCAGTGAGGCAGAATGTAGCCATGACTGGAGAAGTGTCATTGACTGGAAAAATTCTTCCTGTTGGTGGAATCAAGGAGAAGACTATTGCAGTAAGAGCTCTTCTCTTGTCTCTGTGCATTGTCCACAGGAGAGCCCTAGGTTGGGCTGAGTGGGGACAAGGGCAGCCAGTGAGGGGTTGCTCCTTGAACTGAGAGAAGCAGATTTTATTCCATACACAGGTTGGAAAAGTCTGTGGGGGAACATGGGGATCTTGGCTGTGTCTCTGGCTGTGAGGAAAGGGATGGGACCCTAGGCTTTGTGCCAGGACAAGTATGTCGGCATTAGCTCAATTCCACCTACACTGGCAGAATTGAAGGTGACTGACAGCTTTAACTGGCTGTCAGAGCTGTCTGCTCTGTCAGACCAGCACAGTTCAATCACATGTGCTGTGTTGAATTGCCTGTTTGAGGAGGGCATCCAGTGGAGATTTGACAGCATCTCTAAGGTACATTCTTAAAATCAAGGCTCTGTTCCCTAATTCCAGTGTGAATTTGTTTGGCATTTTATACAGAGGTATTAGATAAGAGGAACTTAGATTTAGTATTTGTATTTTTGGTTTCATCTATTTTCAGTTTACACAATTCCTTTCCAAGCGTTCAGTCTGTCTCTCTACTTCTCACCTGCACAATTCTGGCCTATATAAGCCTTGCACCACACATATTTTTCTGTCAAGAATGTTAATAGGTCTTCCTCCACTGAGCTGGGGCTTCACATCAGTGTTCTGCCCCCAGATATATTTGGGCTACAGCCTTCTGCAATGTGATTTCTTTTCCTTGTATGACTTAAAAACGAGTAGTTGTTTGTAGTAGTCAGTAGAGGACTATCCTGTACTGGCACTGACTGGCTGCACTTGCAGGAGGAGTGCGAGTGGCCACAGGCGTAAACACAGATCACCCCTAATGCAATGGGTACAAACCTGTCCTGAGAGGAGAAGCTCTGCCTTTTGTGCTTCTTCCAGGGGAGATGTCTCTATCAAAAAGTTCTGTTCTGTAGAACTGTACTAAGGGTATTGATGGGGTAGGTTGGTTTGACAAGCTGTTTCTAACTTTGCTTTCATCTGAGGCTTTATCATCACCCAAGCTGAAACAGATACTTAAAACTCTGTAAGGTAGTATGAATGTTCTGAATAATCCCCCAAGCTGCTGACATAGTCCAACTAAAATGCCTCCTTCCCTCGTCTGTCCCTGCAGCTGAGAGGGCACTGGAGACTATGTGTTTTGAGGCTTGAGCTGGGGGGGGATCTAGAACATGCTTCACCCTAGTTATATCTATCAGGAATGCCCTTGGTGCTCTCCATAGAAAGGAGTAAAGCTAGATCATGCTCCAGAATAACTGCTCTTGCTTTCAGAAATGGGGGTGTTTCTGGTACATGGAAGGATTCCTAGGATTCAACAGCCCAACTTTTTCTGCCCACAGGCAAAGAGGGCAGGTGTTACCTGCATCATTCTGCCATCAGAGAACAAAAAGGATTATTATGACCTTGCTGGATTCATTACAGAAGGACTGGAAGTGCATTTTGTGGAGCACTACACAGAGGTATTTGATACAGCATTTTCACAGCAGGATCTCACTGGAGGATGACACGCTGTGCCCTGATGGCTGGAAGGTGTTCTGTCCCTAAGCACTGGGCCCCCGCCTAGAGATGGGTGACCAGGGGCAATCCTGAAGTGGGACATGAAGCTATTGCTGCTGCGCAGCTGCCAAAATGAATTATGGCTCTGCTAGAATAAAGTATTTTTCAGTCTTTAATACTGAATTACTATCTACAATAAAGGATCTCCAATTTTGCCAGAGGAATGGGCATGTTATCAGCCACCAGCAGTGGGGCTAGTCTGGTCATTTCTCATTGAAGATATTTCAGCTATTTCACTGTAAATTTCTGTATGACTTGTGAAAAAGGACTGAACAGTACACCCACCCAAAGCTAGGCTGATGTACCGCTGTTATTCCTGATGTGGTAGAAGGCAAGTATCTCTCAGGATCTGCCTCTGTTTAGAAGCCTGGTCTGGGCTGAAAGGACTAAGGTAGTTCAGCAAAGCTGGTAGAGTCAGCTGATAAAAGGGACAGGGTTCTCTAGGTTTAGTCACCAGGTCAATACCACCAGAAAGAACTCCAGGTTTAAAGAGGGTAGATCAGTAACGTGCTCAGCAGCACTGTGCTGCAGCACAGATGGCCTGTGCCTCTGCTGACAGCTGTATCATATTCAGGGAGTGAGAAAAGGAATTAAGTATCTTGACTGTTGTACATCAGTGAACAGCGGCTTGGGGGCCGGAGAACTTGAATGCTTTGTCTTCCACTGAACACTAAGAAAAAGCATTTTCTGAGCCAAGAACAGCTCTTGTCATCTCAGCAAGGGAGGCCTTAGGGGAGAATAAAGAATCCAGCTACTGAAGTCCTGGGAGCTCTTGCCGACTCCAGGTGTTGTGACTTGCTACCACACTGCAGAACACAGGCCTGAATAGAGGGCACAAGACACACGGGAGCAGGCTAAGCTGCATAAGGAATAGGCTGATGTGCCCTGGGGAAGAAGTGCAAAGTAGTTACTATTTTCAACAGCCATTTCTGCCTACTTGACTTCCCTCCTGCTACCATCTAGGTCTGAAGACAGACTAGGAGGTATAGGTGTTATTCCAGAGATTTCCACATCCTGAGACTGCACATAGTCCTAGAGGATTCCCCTCTAGAGTAAGTCACAGCAGCACCAGTATCAGCATCTCCACCTGCAGGTACAATAAACCACTGACCCAAATTCTTGATGGCTAAAGTTCTGGACCTTGTCAGCAGTCCCCAGAAGCACTCACTGAAACAGGTGTATCAAGAACACTCAGCACCCTAGTTTTGGGAGAAAGGACTTTATTGTGTTGCAGCCCGTGCAACTCAATCCTTCTTTGCAGCAGCTTTCCTCATGGCTGCCAGGACATTACTGAGTTCCTCCCGCTTCCTCTTGGCCCGAATGTGAGTGCCAACCTGCGGGGAGAGAGCAGAGCTGTCAGTCTTTACCCAGCACAGACTGGACAGACTGGGACTGCTGCACGTGTCCCTGCTATCACACCTCAAAACCAGGCAGAACGGTAAAGTTCTGGAAAGAGAGACTCTGCCTCAAGCCAGGAGTTTGCCATCATGTCTCAGTAGTACCTTAACAATTATTTGGACAAGAAAGGGTCTGCTTTCAGCTCTCAAAATCATTACAACTCAAGGAACCCTATTTGAAGTCTCCTGGTTAATGGCACCCAACCCCCATCAGTGCTCTCATTTTCCCCACACCAGACATAAAACCATGGAAAAATAGCATGACAAGCCTGAATCCTTGAGCTCAGGGCCTTTTTAGCAAAGTACCTCTGCATCCATCTCCTGCTCTCCCACCCAGCCCAAGGAACATTCTCTCCACTCCATCATATTCCACCAGTTAATTCCAAAACAAATAAAAAAATAATTAATTAAAAAGCCAAATATTCCTTGGAGAGGGCAGAAAACAGAAAACTGACATAAGTTTCTGTCATCCATTGTTAGTTGATTGACCTACCCGCTTCTTGATGAACTTCAGAGCACGTTTGTCCTTGGACACTTTCAGCAGCTCCATTGCACGTCGCTCATAGGGTGCAAAGCCACAGACTTCCCTGATCATGTCTCGCACAAACTTGGTGTGTTTGGTCAGGCGCTGTGGGAAGGGAGGGAGGGAGAACTTTGGTCAGCAGGTTACAAAGCACTGTGCAATGGGGGACTGCAAGGAGTTGTGCCATACTCTCAGCTAGGCTTCAAAACCAGCTTATGCTGTTGGCATGTGCCAAGAAAACTTCATGCCTGGCAGATCCTGCGGAGCCAAGATCTGCCAAGTGTGCCAGTCTGTCTTCAAGCACAGTGTCACACACTGGCACACCAGCATTCTTTGAAAAAGCACGTCCATGAGCTAGCCAGGGTTTGCACTGCAACACACGTCGACCACCACAGCTACACAAAGCATTTAGTAAGAATGAATAATGAGCCCAGATGCATTCATGTCCTGTAACACGCCACCTTATCGGACTTGGATAGCTCCTAGTAGAGAAATCCGGGGCAGTTCTGTGGGAGATTGCCTGTTACCAAGAGAAGCAGAATAGGAGACTCTAGAAGACATACAGCTTTCACAGCTACCTACTGCCCTGCCCTACCGAGCCCACGGGCCCGCCCCGCAGTCACGGGCAGCACGGGGGTTCTGAGCCCTCCTGTCTTCCCACAGCGAAAGCGCGAGCCGCAGCCCCAGGGTTCGTGTCCGCGCCAGACACACGAACACAACCGCGCTGCGCACTGCGGGCAGCGGCTCGCTCGGCCCCCACGAGAGGCAGGCCTGGGACACCGCGCGCCAGCAGAGCCTCACACTCACCCCGCGACGGCGACACTGCCGGGGCTTGGACACGTTCTTGGTCACCTTGTAGCCCTTGTTAAGGCCCACGGCCATCGGGTAGCGGATGGCCATGGCTGCCTCGGGGCGGATGGACACGGATGGACACAGACCCGCTCCGCCTCAGCCGCTCCGCAGCGATGGCGCCGCGCCGGAAGGAACGAGCGCGCGCGGGACCCCGGGACGCGGCCATTTCCGGCGGTGGGCGGGGCCGAGGGCGCGCGGGGCGGGGCAGGCGGGAAGGCGCGAACGCGGGCGGTGCGCTGTGAGGGACTGCGGAGCACCCGCAATGGGCTCAGCGGGACTGTGAGGGGACAGCGGGCTGAGAGGAGGGTCACCCCGGGATGGGGTCAGCGGGACTGTGAGGGGACCGCGGGCTGAGAGGAGAGTCACCCCGGGATGGGGTCAGCGGGACTGTGAGGGGACAGCGGGCTGAGAGGAGGGTCACCCGGGATGGGGTCAGCGTGACTGTGAGGGGACAGCGGGGGCGAGAGGAGGGTCACCCCGCAATGGGCTCAGCGGGACTGTGAGGGGACACTGGGGATGAGAGAAGGGTCACCCCGCAATGGGGCCATCGGGACTGTTATAAATTATGATACAGGACCAATTTGTGTCACTTTATAAAGCGAATTTTATTAATTTAGCAAGCAAGCAGTACGGGCAAATGCAGCGCTGGGCGGCCGGGGAGCCTCTGCTCCCCACAACGGCTCGCACCGCACCTCCCGGTCTTTCAGTTCTTATACCCCTTCAGTTCCAGACTTTGTGACAGTCTCGACGTGCTCTGCATCTGCGCGGCGTGTTGCTAGGGGTCTTTTTTCTGCTGTCCAGTGGTCGTTTGAGGAAAGCTCCTATTCTTTTTCCTCCGAGGTAGCGTTAACCCTGCAATAACTTCTCCAAATATGGTAACGCAGCTTTTAAAGATCTCTCAATTCCACTATCTACTAATAGCAGTACATCCTGCCCTCCTGCCCCACTGTTTCCTGTGACTTACACAATCCCTGGGACTTTTCCTGATGAACAAAAACTATGCTATTGTCTTTCACAGGGACTGTGAGGGGACAGCGGGGATGAGAGAAGGGTCACCCCGGGATGGTCATTGTGGGTATTATGGGACAGCGGGGACGAGAGGAGGGTCACCCCGCAGCGGGTGGTCCGAGACAACTGGTAGTTCCCCTCAGATGCGGGCGGGGGGCTTGGGGCGCCCGCCATATGGAGACGCACAGCCCCGCACTTACAGAATTTTTCCCCATAAATTATAACTTCGGTATCACTTGACCAGGATTTGATAACCATTGACAGACAAACCTAAAGGAATAGATTAAATGATTTTGTTGGAATAAAAGATACTGGATTTTCCTACCTCTGAAAGAGAGCTTAGGTGAACGTGTGCAACTCAACTGTTTTCAGCTTTCAAAGACAACTCATTTAATTTGTTGAAATGGAAAATATTGACTTGAAATTGAAAATTTTGGTTTTTGAAACAAATCATGGAACTTTACATCCTGCTGTAGACCTTGTCTTTGCACGACTGGTTCCTTTCATCCCAGGGCAGCGGTGCCAGCTCACGCATTTGGAGCTGCTGGACTCTGTCACCCCCACATGGCACAGATTCCAGCAGTGAGCAATGTTCTTGGCTTAGATGATGGGACAGGTATGAACAGGCATCTGCAGGGTGAGGGTGACTGTCCTACACAGACAGAAGGAACTGCCTTTCTGAAATATTTCCTAATGTTTCTGAAAGTCAACAAAGAAAACTTATGAATACCAATTTTGTTGTCAGTCTAACCTCTAAAATCAACACGAGTTTGATAACATCTTTGCTACTGAGAACTAAGTATCACACGGGGCAGCTAAAAGTCTCCCCATCCATGAGCTCAGGGTTCCTCACGGGAGGAAATGTCGCAGCCCCGGGCTGGCGGAGGTATCACCTCTCCTGTCGCCTTTCCTGCGACTGCCAATGTGCACAGAGCTGCCTTGCGATGGCTACTCACTCACCTCTGGATGTGCCAGAGAAGGGCCCTCACCTGCTCTGGCTCTGTGACCTCATCAAACACAGGTGGACCTAAAAGAAGCATTAGCCTGGAACAGGAGGCAGCGGCATCTGCTGCTTCCCTCTGCCTGGTCTGTGTGCACCAACCCACCAGCAGCATCTGCCTGGGGCTCTTCCCTCTCACACCCTATTGCTACCATCCTCTCAGGACATCTTTTCCGTTCATGCAGAAACATATGTATCTACGGTTCCCAGACTCCCAGTGGTTTCTCATAATTTGATCTTTTTATGGTGCACTGGATACCCCTCAAATCCTGCCTTTTTCCCAAGACAAGATTTCTTGCCTACTACCATTGCCTGCACTAATCCCTAATAGAAAAT